GAGGTCGCCAGTTTGATTCCCATTCAGGGCACATGCCCAGGTTGTAGGCCCAATCCCCAGTGGGGGGCATGCAGGAGGCAACCAGTCAATGTTCTCTCTCATCGATGTTTCTCTCTCTCTCTCTCCCTCTAAAATCAATAAAGAAAAAATAATAAAAATCACATTTACATATCAATTCACCAGTTTTTAGGTGTACAAGTCAATGCATTTTGGCACATACACACCATTGTGCAACCACCATCACCATCAGCACATACAACAAAGGTTCCTGAACTTCACTGTTTCACCACACACTTGGTGTTTCAGCACACTTTTCACAGAGTCCTCAGGCCAAATAACTTTAAAGTATTTATGTCTTAACAACTCAGTAGCCTTATGGGAAAAAGAAATACACTGAAATCGACAAAAATATTTTTATTTCACTCTGCAATAACCAGAATTATCGAGGAACGGGAATGTGCATGCTTGTTGGCTCTGCACAAATTCTCAAACCTTAGACACTGCGGCCGGCACTTCCTGTTCCGTGTTGGCTTTCACATAGCACTCGATCTTAACCGGAGACCACTGAAAACCCAACTTCGCGAAGATATGACACCATCAGAAAGAATGTAGCATGACCTGCTGTGCTACAGTCTAAGTGGTGTGAGACAGATGTCACTGGGTTTCCCTTGAAAACGTAACCATCCCATAGTGCCCCGGGGACCCTGCTGCAGGAGCCCTGACACAGTTTGGGAATCACAAATATAGACTGTTTCTATTAGCGCCCCCCAAAGATGCCTACCTAGCACCCCCCAAAGATGCCTACCTAGCACCCCCCAAAGATGCCTACCTAGCACCCCCCAAAGATGCCTACCTAGCACCCCCCAAAGATGCCTACCTAGCACCCCCCAAAGATGCCTACCTAGCACCCCTGTTGTTTTTTACGAGCAGTATTTTGATTTGCCTTCATAAAACCACCCGTCCCCTATTCTTTTTTTTTTTTTTTTAATCCTCACCCGAGGACATTTTTGCATTTATCTTGAGATAGAGCAGGAGGGAGAGAGGGAGGAAGAGAGAGACATTGATGTGAGAGAGACACATGGACCGGTTGCCACCCACATGACCCCAACCGGGGCCGGGGACAAACTGCAACCGAGGCACGTGCCCTTAGTGGAAACCGAACCCAGGCCTCTCTGGTCCACAGGTCGACGCTCCAACCGCTGAGCCAAACCGGCCAGGGCCTCCCCTATTCTTATTTCATGTGGTTAAGAGCACAAATTCTAGTTTTCAGCAGCTTGGGTTCGAATCCTGATTCCAGCACTTATGAGCCATGAGGTTTTGTGTCACTTATTTTCCCTCTGTAGATTGGTGATAACAGGATCTATTTCATAGGGTTTTAATGAAATAATACTGTCTTCCTGCTTGCAGCCTGCCACCCTGCTGTCTACTCTACACACAGCAGCTAGAGGCATGCCCATTCATTGATAGTAAAAGCCAAAATCTTTACAGTGGTCTACCTTCTGAGAGGTCAGGTGTAGGGCAAGACCACTTCCGGCGACCTCCTTCCTTGGTGGGAGGGACAAGGTCAGGTTTCCAGTGACGAAAGACAAGGCAGGAAAGGCTCATTAAACCACCTGCCACCGTGTCTGTAAGTGACCTTTTGTGGTCATACCACCAACCACAGAGCCACACACAATTCACCAGCAAAGCTGAAACCCCAACCAGCCAAAAACAGTAACTATAGCGACCTGACCTTGCCCCGGAGTCCAGTGAGGCCCGGGCAGGTGCTAACCAGAATCAAAAGAAATCAGATCCTTTCCTCTGGAAATTCCCAGAGATTATGACTTTAAAGACCTTTCCAATCTTCTAGTGCCTGAAAGTTAGGTTTCCTCTTTCTTCATTTGTAAAAGGGAACAAGAGGTAAAACCCAGAGACATTCTATGTCACCCCAAGAAAGATGAAATCAGACAGATAAAGCATGAAACCCATGAGTCCCAGATTCTGAGGTAGATGTAGGAAAATTAAGATAGAGATTTTCTAGTGAACAAAAAAGGGAAACTTTCTTATTGTTACCTTTCTAGTTCCCATCTCACCACTTGCCTACATGTTGTAACCTCCCTGTTCTCCAACAGATGCCTCGTATCTGAAAGTCTCTCCAATATGTACACAGTGACAATGTACCCCCTACTTATTAGTATGTACACATTTCCAGAGACTTTCTTCTCAGGGGTTCAGAGCTCTTACATTTAATATGACAGAGAGGGGCCCCCAATACAAGAATGATACATTTGAAGTGAATATTTAGAGAGCTAAGTTCTAGCCGCAACTTTATCACTACATAGCTGTGCGACGCCAGCTAAATTAGCATGCCAAAGCTTGTGTCCTCATCTATGAACTGAAGACACTGTGTGTTTTGCCTTAACCTCCAGGGAACTCTGTGGCCTTCCAGTCATCAATGGCCTACGACTCAACCAGCTGCCACCAAAGCCTGAGGCCAGCAGGGTCCCTCTTCCCCCAGGGAGGGCCCAGTCCATTCCAGTTGCCCTATTGCTGAAGAACTAAGCAGGGGACCCCACAGTTTCCACTGGGTCAGCCCTTCTTCAGCCCTTGCTATGCACCAGGGGATGAAATCCAGAATTAACGCCCAGTCCCTCCCTGTCCCTCACACACCTGAGCCCCAGAGACACCAATTAAGAACACAACAAACCAAACTGTCTCTTTTGCAACCTCTGCCTGCCAAGACTTGCTGTCTAATTGCTGTTAATTGCATTAATTGCATAGCTCTGAGGTGTTAAGACTCCTCCTTCTCCTACTCTAAAGATGGGCAAAAGAAAGGAATGATGAACAGAAGCTCCACACAGCCCTGGCCAGTTTGGCTCAGCGGTCAGAGTGTCGGCCTGCAGTCCATAGAGACCCAGGTTTGGTTCCCGCTAAGAGCACGTACCTCGGTTGTAGTTTGTCCCCGGCCCTGGTTGGGTTGTGCGGGTGGCAGCCACTCGATGTGTCCCTTTCACGTCGATGTTTCTCTCTCTCTCTTCCTCTCTCTCCCTCCCACTTTATCTGAACAAAAAATGAAAAAATGTCCTCAGGTGAGGATAAAAAAAAAAAAGAAGCTTCACACAGCAAACCTCTTCTCCCACTCCTGACCCCAACACCCCCTCTGTGGCTCCAAGGCTGGACATGATGTGAGAGCCCAGTAGGACAAAGCATTAAGAAGTGGCTGAGTCCGGCTGGTGTTGCTCAGTGGTTGAGCACTGACCCATGCACTAAGAGGTCGCCGGTTCGATTCCGGGTCAGGACACATGCCCAGGTTGTGGGCCCAATCCCCAGTGCGGGGGCATGGAGGAGGCAGCCAATCGATATTCTCTCTCATCGATGTTTCTATCTCTCCCTCTCCCTTCCTCTCTCTCTAAAATCAATAAAGAAAAAATATATATATGTTTATTTTCTTTTTTTATCCTCACCCGAGGACCTTTTTCCATTTTTTGTTCAGATAGAGTGGGAGGGAGAGAAAGGAAGAGAGAGGGAGAAACATCGACATGAAAGGGACACATCGAATGGCTGCCACCCACACGACCCAACCAGGGCTGGGGACAACTGCAACCGAGGTACGTGCCCTTAGCAGGAACCGAACCTGGGTCTCTCTGGACCGCAGGCCGACGATCTAACCACTGAGTCAAACCGGCCAGGGCAAAAAAATGTTTAAAAGAAAGAAAAAAAAGAAGTGGCTGAGTTTTCTCAATAGCAGTGGAGCCATAAGGGTCCTCAGGGAACTGGGTGGAACCCAAGCCCTAGATCTGAAGGAGAGGGCACCAACCCACACATGCTGGACAGGCCAAGGAAGGGATACCCTTCTGGTTCTGGGTATCCTAAAACGGTCCCGTCTCTCCAGCACCCCTCTCTCTATTCATCCGGACCTGCTGCCTCATGTCTAGAAAGACCCATTGCAGACACCCTTGGCAATCACCTCTCCTCTCCTCTGGACCCTGTAAGAGGTCAGCCAACTGCAGACAAGAGCCACATGCTCGGGAAAATGTCACTGCCCCAGCTGTGGACAAGGAGGAGGGGGGGGGGTGTGATATGATTTTAGGCAAGCAGAACCCAACTCTGAGAACACCAACACAATCCAAGTAGCTGCAGAGGGAGCAGCCCCATCTTCAAAAATGTTCCCAGAGTCCCCTTGGCCAACCCTAAGATTTTCTGAGGTGTCTCTAGTCGCCAGAGTAGGTGGCTGAGGCCTCTGAGAACTCCCACCAGGAACAAATCCTCCTGTGTGGACCCCACGACAGCAAAGCCATTCTCTCGATGGGCCTCTCTTGCGTCCGTCCCCACCTCACCCCTGGTCAGGCTCTGGGCCAGGAGGGTGAGGGCAGGCATCCTTCGGAGGGAGGCAACCCAGCTGTCAGAACTGACATGCCGTCCACCACGCCAAACTCAGCCTGCAGCAGCGCCAGAGAAGCGGCACCGACACCAGAGCCCCGGACACGGGGAACAGGGCTCCCTAGTCCCCAAGCAGAGCCGATGGGTTCAAGGTGAACTTCTCCCAAGCACCTCTTGGGGAACAGAGCTGCAGCAGAGGGCTGCCTGCCCTACCAGAGCCAAGGGGCAGTTGAGCTGCCAAAAGCCGGTGGGCGGGGTGGGGACGGGAGACCCCTGTGGAGGTGGGGGCTGGGCTGTTTTCTCGGAGTCCCCAGCAGGTACCTGTCCCCTCAGGCCTCCCCCACATGGACACGCCTGGAACTTTCCCCCCGACCAACTTTCTGCAGCGACGGAGGTGCGCGGAGCACAGAGCCGGTGCGAGGGCTGGAAAAAGGGGCTTCGACCGGGCGCCCCAAGTGGATGCAGAACTGAAGTGCTGGAGATGGGAGGGGGCTGGACCACGCAGACCACCAGCCCGCAGGTCCTGGCCAGGGACACACCCTGCGCCCTCCTGGGGCCCACCGCCCGGGCTGGGGGAGCAGGAAGGGGAAGGCGCTGCACCCCAGGTAGCAGAGTTGAGGGACCAGGTGGCCCGGCCTTACCTGCAGTTCCTGAAATTCTCGCTCCAGCTCGTGCCACTCGCGCCCGCAGCGCTCCAGCTGGGCGGACATGGTGCAGCGCAGCGAGGCGCCGGCGGCTGCTCCCGCTCCGTGGCGCGGCGGGCCACCGGCACCCGCTGCCGTCCGCTCGCTTGCGGGCTTCAGAGGTACCAGCTGTTCCTGCGCAGCCGGAGCCACGCGCGCACCTGACGTCACGGCCCCGCCCCTCGCCGGGAGGCCGGCCTCGCGCGCGCGCGCATGCGCACGCAGCCGGCCCCGCCCCCGAGTGCCGCGCGCCGGCGGGGGCCGGCTGGAGCCGTGCAGGTCTCCGCGTGGGCTGTCTGTGGCCGTGGGGGGTGACTGCGCCTCCGGGCTCCTCCTTCTAGTTGGGGCTGGGGGACTTGTTCGCAGGCGGCGTTGGCAGAACGTATTTTATATCGATTCATTAGATTGTGTTTGTTTGGGGTGGCTGGGGTGGAGCCCAAAACAGGCGATTTGGGAGCCGGGAAAGCTCTCCGTCCCTTGGCATTACCTGGCTGAGCCAGAGCCCGCAGCCTGGAAGGCTGGAATTGACGCTACTATCCAGCAAGGTCGCCGAGCAGGGCGGGGAAGCACAGACGGGGCCCTGTCCTCTCACACTGTCAGTATTTACTGCAACTAAGAACATTCCTGCCCTCTAAGGTTCCGGGTGACTGTCTTGACAGCTGTTTCTGTCGCTCCAATGACACAACCGCCTCAAAGCTAACTGAATCCGGATTCCCTCCCCTCAAGATCCGTCCCTGCCTTGCTTTCTGGTCACATCTCTTATCCCACCCCCATCTCCAGCCGCTGTTTTTATCTCTTCCTGTCCCTGCATGGAACACGCTTTGTGTATATGTATTAGTGCATTAAGTCCTCACTTATGAGAAAAGACCTTATTATCTCTATTTGACAGGTGAGTACTCTAAGGCATGGTTTCTCCAACTTTCAGTGTGCTCATGAACCACCTCCTGAAGACCCTGTTAAAATGCAGATTCTGATTCAGTAGATTCTCAGAAAGACCTGAGATCCTGTAGGTCTACAAGCTCCAGTACTACTGGCCCGAGGCCTACACTTAAATAGCAAGAAACTGCCGGGGCCGGGTAACTCAGTTGATTAGAGCATCGTCCAAAAATGCCAAGGTTGTGGATTTGATCTCCAGTCAGAGCACAAACAAGAAGCAACCAATGAATGCATAAATAAGTGGAGCAACAAATCAATGTTTCTCTCTCTCCCTTCCTTTCTCGAAAATCAATCAATAAAAAAATTTTAAAAGTAAGAAACCATGATACTGAGCTTCCCCAAGATCATCCAGCCACTAGTAGCTGTGTTACTTCCACATTGCAGGATGCCAAAAGCCAGTCTAATAAAGGAGCAACTGCCCAAGGACAAGAGAAAAGTCCAGGGTCTTAGGCCTGGCTGGGAAGCTCAGTTGGTTAAAGTGCTGTCCTGATACACCAAGGTTGCAGGTTCATCCCTAGTCAGGACACACACAAGAATCAACTCATGAATGCATAAATAAGTGAAACAACAGAAAGAAAAAGAAAATGGCAGGGATTTTTCCTTCATCTGTTTTCCACAGATGCCCTTGCTCAAAACAGTCCCAAAGATTGTAACAAGCAGTTTGTGCAAAGATTTATAGCTGCACTTTTCCAATCAGCCACACACTGGAAACATCCCAAGTGCCCCACAACAGGGAGATGGTTAAGTAACCTATAGTTTGTCAATTTTGTGTGATACTATATGGTTGTTTAGAGGATCGTTATGGGAACTAAATGCATGCCTGTAAACAGGTCAATGAAATCATGGTAAGTAAAAAGGTAGAATCCAAAATAATGTGTGTATACGGATTAGTTATTCAGTCACTTGTGTACCCTGAAAAAGATCGGGTGAATTTAGTGTGACAGAAATAGTCCACCATGTCAATTGATGGGATTTTTATTTCCTGAAATGTTGTGCAGATGTTTGAGAGAGATTTTAAACCCCTATCTTGCTGTTCATGGCTGCACAATGTAATGGAAATAGCAAGCATTATCTATTAAATTTCATTTGTTTGATGTTTCCTCTTCAGGTATCAAGATGTCCTTTCTGTCCTTATTCACTTATTTGCATTACTGAACCTACCTGGGCTAGAAGGGGCTGCGTGGTTTTTTTAACCCAATCAGACTGGAGCTCAAATCTCAGTTCTACCCCCTGCTGAGTGCTGGATCCTGAGAACCTAACTCACCTTCGCTGTAAACGGGGGGTGGCTCTGGTAGGACTGTTCTGATGATTAAATGCAATGGGTAATGCAAAGTGCCTGGCAATACACAAGCACCAGAAAGCACTGACTTCATGTGTTTGAGTTTTTAAAAATATTTTGTTTTATTTGGGGATATTTTTAGATTTACCAAAAAACCTGCAAAGATAGTACAGAAGTGCCCACCTACTCTTCAGTTTCCCCTAATGTTGACAGTGTACATAACCATGATAGCTTTGTCAAAATGGAGAAATTAACATAGGTGTATTACTAGCAACTAAACTCTAGACTTTATTCAGATCTTACCAGTTTTCCTTTTTCTTTTTATGAGAGAAGGAGAAAGGGAGACAGAAACATAGATGAGAGAACATCGATTGGCCACTTCCTGCATGTCCCCCACTGGGGATTTGCCCCACAACCTGGGCATGTGCCCTGACTGGGGATTGAACCGGCGACCTCTGGGTGCATGGGTCGACGCTCAGCCACTGAGACACACCAGCCAGGTTCTTACCAGTTTTTCTGCTGTTCTTTTTCCATCCCAGGATTCACTGTGACATTGCATCTAGGCGTCATGTCTCCGGAGTCTCCTCTGGTCTGCCATAGTATCTCAGTCCTGACCTTGACAGTTTTGAAGAGTGATGTGTATATTTTAATAACAGCTTTATTGAGATATTGTGACAGTTAATTTTATTTTTATTTTCTTTATTGATTTTAGAGAGAGAAGAGAGAGGGAGAGATAGAAACATCGATGAGAGAACATCGACTGGCCATCTCCTGCATGCCCCGCATTGGGGATTTGGTCCACAACCTGGGCATGTGCCCTGACCGGGAATTGAACCAGTGACCTCTTGGTGCAGGGGTCGATGCTCAACCACTGAGCCACACCAGCCGGGCTGATGGTTAATTTTATATGTCAACTTGACTGGGCCATGTGATGCCCAGATATCTGGTTAACCGTTATTCTGGGTGTGTCTGTGAGGCTGTTTCCAGAAGAGATTATTTCAGTGGTAGACTGAGTAAAGTAGATTAGAAGAATTCTCTCTCTGAGCCTGACCTTGGGACATGGGTCTTCTCCTCTCCTCAGACTGGTCTTACACCACAGCACTTCCGATTCTCAGGCGGGAACTACACATTTTGTTTATCCATTCATCAGCTGATGGACATCTGGGTTGTCTCCACTTCTGGGCTATTATGAACAGTGCTGCTAGGAACATTCACGTACAAGTGTTTGCACATATGTATGTTTTCTCTTACCCTCAAAAGAAGAATTTCTTCATCAGATGGTAACTGGGTTTAGTATTTTGAGGAACAAACTGTTTCCCAAAGTGGCTGTACCATTTTATACCCTTGCCAGCAATGTATGAAGGCTCCAATTTCTCTCCTTTCTTGTCAACACTTGTTATCGTCTGTGTTTCCATTTTATTTTTTTTATCCTCACCCGAGGACATTCTTCCATCCCCTGTTCAGACAGAGTGGGAGGGAGAGAGAGGAAGAGAGAGAAACATTGACGCGAAAGGGACACATCGAGTGGCTGCCACCTGCACAACCAACCAGGGCCGGGAACAAACTACAACCAAGGCACGCACCCTTAGCGGGAACCCAACCCGGGTCTCTCTGGACCGCAGGCTGACGCTCCAACCGCTGAGCCAAACCGGCCAGGGCTGTGTTTCCATTTTAGACATCCTGTAGTTTTATGTGACCTGAATCTCACTGAGGTTTTACTTTTTCGTTTTCCTAATGGCTAAGAATGTTGACTGGCTTTTCATGTGCTCATTGGCCAACTGTATGTCTTGTTTTTTGTTTTGTTTTGTTTTCCCTCTTTATTGATTTTAGAGAGAGAGGGAGGGAGAGGGAGAGACAGACAGAAACATTGATGAGCAAGAACACTGCTCGGCCGCCTCCTGCATGTACCCTACTGGGAATCTGGAGCACAACCTGGGCATGTGCCCTGACCAGGAGTCAAACCTCTTGGTACATGGGTTGATGCTCAACCACTGAGCCACACCAGCCAAACTGTATATCTTATATTAGAGAAATGTCTGTTCTAATCCTTTCATTTAAAAATTGGGTTATTTCCTCTTTTATTGTTGAGTTGTAAGTGTTCTTTATATATTCTGGATACGAATCTGTTATTATACATATGATTTGCATTAATGTTCTCCTATTCTGTGAGTTGATTGTATATGTATATAAATATGTAATTTATATGTGTAAATATAAATATATTTATATTATTCAACAATCTCAAACTGAAAGAAAAGTTACAAGTACATTACAAAGAACTATTTTTTCAGATCCAGTGGAGTGTAGATTGCTGATCCCTTCACCCCGTCACCCTATCACCCCTGAATACTTCAGTGGGATTCCCTACAATCAAGAACATTCTCTTCATCAGCCAAAGTACAAGAAATCAAGAAATTAATACTGATACATTACTGCCCTCTAATCCTCAGACCCCGTTCAAGTGTCCCAATTGTGCCAATAGTGTCCTTTACAGCAAAAGGTCCCAGTCCAGGGTCATCAGCTGTGTTTCGCTGTTATGTCTCTAGTTTCCTTTCACATGGAACGATTCCTCAGTCTTTCTGTCTTCCTTGTCTTGATATTTCTGGGGGGAAAAAGACAATGATTATTTAGTAGAGTTCTCCCCAGTTCGGGCTTGCCTAATGTGTCCTGTGATTAGATGGAGGTTGGGTGTCTTTGTCAGGACGGCCACGGAAGTGACCCTGTGTCCTTCTCGCTGCATCTCAGCAGGTGGTACAAGACTTCAATTCATCACACTGCTGATGATGTTCACTTCGCTGGACTGCCCACTGGGATGTTCCTCTTAT